TGCATCTCGCCAAAGGAAAGAGCCGAGGAGTTGGTGAGATTAACGCGGGGATAACGAGCAGCGCGTCTTGCTTCACTAGGCACAGCCATCAAATGAGAGAGATGGTGCGGCTAACTCGCTGCCTCTCGTTGCCTGCGAATATTGAGATAAAAATGAGCCTTTTCACACCATCGCGGTAACAAAATATGTTGTGCTGAGAAAGAAAAGAAGCAGCGTGCTTTAAAATTAACACTCCCAGCTATGCGCGGCAATAACTCTCTCAACTCTTTCCGACGAGGAGAAGAAGAAGTGTACAAACGCTTTTTACTTTAAGGTTATTCTTCAAGCCTTTTTAATGAACCAAAAGCAAAAAATTATCTTCTTAGATTTAATCCATATGCTTTAAAGATGTTGAAAATAAATTTTCAGACACTTACTATACATAGTTAATTAGATAATTAAGTTTTAATTTCAAATCTTTGAGGCCTTGTTTAGGTCGTTTATGATGAGATATATCATTAAGAGCGCGCAGATGTAATCCTTGGTATATATTGAATCACATCAACAAATTTCATTGATGAATATTAATTGGAACACAAGAAAAAAGCGCTTTTACAATATTAATTTTATTATGACAAAAAGATCATATTTTTGTTCCTTACGTGAAACCACTTTTAACCCACTTGCAATTATTGGACTTGTTTGAAATTTTTTCACATAATACTACACAAAAGTGGCTTTCATGTGACGCTTTAAAAATCTTCCTATGATAATTAGAACTCGTGATTCAAGTTCACAAATTTTTGCATGTTTTTTTAATAAAATTTTAGATCGTTTAGTCCCACATAGAGGCACGCTCGCGCTTCGATCGCTCGCGCACCCAACTCTCGCACAGCAGGGGTTGTGTGAGCTACACAAAAGGTTCCTCTCCCAGTGGTTTTGCCCCAAGGGACCGACTTATTTTTCTTCCAAAGTGCTTTTTCCTTCTTTGCTCTTATATTTGGTTCCTTCTTGTCTCAATCCAAAGTCCAAGACTCGCCAGTGTGTCTAACTAAAATTTATTCATCCAAAAGCTTTGATATGTATCTCGGGATTTTAGTGAATTTGAAACTAGAAAAAAAAATATATTTTTTAATACTTTTCTTTTAACTACTTCTAATATATTATTTGTTTATTCTACTCACAATCAGTCGCACATATATAAATAAAATATCGAAAAATGGGAAGAAGGGGCATATAATATGAATTGAAATAAGTGGCAGATGACTAAAAAAATCAGCAGTCTCGAAATATAAAATTTGCCAAGTGAAAATTTGAATGAAATCCTCTGCTCCAATTTATATATCATTGAAGAGATATGTTTTTTTTAACAAGTTGATTAAATTATAAGGTTGGCCGATTATTGTTTTTTATATTTTTATTTATTATTATTATATTCTTTACAAATCAAGTCAAGCAGAATAAAGTTAGCATAGAGTTCTAATAGAGATATAACTGAAATTAAATCTTCAGGATAATTATATTGCACAAAGTCACTTGCAGCTAAGTTTTTTTTCCATATTTAGGGAAAAGCAGAAGACCTGTCTCTGGTTCAAAGCAAAAATAAAATCTTATATATTTGTAGACCCATAGAAAAAAATACATTGCAATTCCAAAAGAAAACGATTATATTCCCATTAATTTTATTAGCCAAAATCTTGATTTTAGCCATTGAGGAACAATAAAAATGAAGCAAAGCGAATTAAATAAATGCACCCCCAGCAGCTCTAATTCAGTGAGCAGGATATCCTCTTTATAACAAACGGAATTCAACAGAATTCACTTTTCTGGTGTAATAAAAATTCTCCGCGCAGCAGCGATCTAGCGCCCTGTGGATATATGGATTTAGGACAATATCAATTTAATTATGTGTGCGCAACTTAGGGGGTACTCATCGAATTGGTCACACCTTTGATTTGAAATTTCACGACGCGCACGCCACACTTGAAAATTTTATAAAGCCGTCAGTCAGTCAATAATTTTTGAAGGATAAAGAAGCTCTTGCTCGCAACTCGCAAGCATGGGCAACCCGCAAAATCGTACAAAAAAACGGAGTCGGAAACGCTGCTACCAATTGAAGCAAAAAAATCAAAAATTGGCCGGGGATAGTAATAGTTCAAGTGATGGTTGCTCCGGTCTTGATATCTCGAGGATTGATATCTCCGGGATAGAGCAAATACAACAATCAACTCCGAAAAAGCGAACAGCAGCCTCGCCAAAAGTAGTGGATGGGCTCTCTGTTGATGAGAGCCCGCCATGGAAATTGCAACGGAACGCAAACGACCGCTTATATCATGGAGAGACACTTCAAGTGAGTTTTTCAAAATACTTATTGTATGTATTGAATGCATAAAAAAATTACCTAAACGCATGCAAGAGAGCTAATAAGCTATAATTATAAATGATTGATCCTCACGCTTCCTTTTTTCTATTGACATGCCTGCAAATTAACAGCAGCATTATATAAAATTCTTAGGCAATGCTGAATTTAATTTAATTTTTTAGGTGGTCTCTCATTTTTTTCAACCAATTAAATTAGCATTAAATAATTATTAATTATAATTCTGTGTCTTAATTATTCCATTCTAAGCATAAATTTAAATTAAAAATGCATGTTTTTTTACTTCACTATAGAATTAAATTAATAAAATTGGAATATAAAATCAGTAAAAAATATTTCAGACTGCTAGTCCATCAAAGATGCTCATTGCTGAAGAATTCGGGAATAATTATGACCAGAGCTTCGAGCTTCTAGAAGAAACTGTGGACTCCGTGTCGTTCGAAAGATCAGAAAAAGCGCCAATAGACACTGATTTCAATTTAATAATAAATTTTGGATTTTTCTATGAACAACTTGAGAAAGTATGGCAGCATGAGCAATCCTGCGAAAAGGCTGGAAAACTTCATCTCGTTGATTCAAAACATAACGGATTGTCCAATGAGCTAAAATTTTGCTGCTCAAAATGCCATATTCAAATTTTGGTATCAACTCATTCATCTGACCAGCGTGAAAAATTAAACGTGGCTGCTGTGTGGGGAACTCTGAGTATTGGTGCTGGTCACGAGCAAGCGACGGAGTTTCTCAGTTATCTTGGTCTTCAAATGATGGCTTTCAACACATTCACCAAACACGAAGAAAAACTGTCAGAGGTATAATGCCATTAAATTTGATATATTTGCAACTAATGCCAATTAAAATTTAAGACGTCCCAAAATAGACAAAATTCTGATTTTAATTTTTAATTAAGCATTGGAAAAAAAGCAATAATACTAATTCTCATTTAAAATTGAAAATAATTTTTTAAATAAAAATTTTTTTCAAAGGCCTGGTCAAAAGACCTGGATGAAGATTTGAAAAAAAATGGAGAGGAAGAACGTCAACTAGCCATAGAGCTCGGAAACATTGACGATGACGGAGTACCGTTCACCACAGCTATTGGGGATTCTGGCTGGGGAGTACGTTCCTTCAGCCACACTATGCGGTCACCAGTGGGCTGTGTATGTATAAACTGATTCTAGTTTTAATAGATTTCAATATATTGAACTAGATAACATATTTACTTGATTACAAATTTTTTCATAATTTTATTTTTAAATTCAATCAAAATTATATTTAAAATAATAATGAGGAATTGAACAATTATTTGCATTTCTTATTACAAATAATTATCAAAAGCATGTTTTTTTTTAAACAGATTTGCCAAATTAAATATTAGTAAAATGCAAAAAAATGAAATTAGAAATATACATTTCATTTTTGTGCTTATAAATTTTTTTAATTTTTATTATTGTTATACTTGCAAAAATATTTATAAATGTGCAAAGACTCAAATATTATTGTTTGAATTATTTAAAATTTCAATTATTATTTTTTGTTACTAATTATTTTTAAAACTAAAATTTACCAGAATTTTATTTTTATTTTTGCAGGGAGTCCTCATTGGAGCCAATACAGGCAAAGTACTGTTTCTTGCAACTAGAAATAAGTATTGCTATGTTTGCGCAGCGGCTAAAAAGAAAGGCCTTGAACCAAAGTCACATAAGTGCTTCAAAAACTACGAAGGCACTTCCACAGGTATGGAGCAGGACATAATTGTAGAAGGGTTTCGCTGCAGCATAGAGATGCACGGTTTACGATACCTTCAATACGTCGGAGACGGGGACTCTAGCGTAATGACAAAAATTCGCGAAAAATGTGATTACGGACCTAGAGTTACAAAGGTCTTTTGCAAAAACCACTCCATCAAGAATTTGAAGTCTGGGTTATATTCAGTGGCACTGAATAGAGCATTGAAAAATCCCGACCTTCGAAAATTGGTCAAAAGCAACATAGACCGAATGGTCAAAGGCGCCAACATTGCAATTTTTAGGGCGACAGAATTGCGCGACAAAAGCGACCGGCCAAAGAGAGAAGTGGTGCAAAATTTGCAAAGAGAATTAAAAAATGTGCCCTCTCATGTCTTTGGCGAACATCAATTTTGCGGGGATATTTGCACTCGAAAGGAAATTGAAACTGAGGTGAACTGGGTACCCGAGTTGAAAAAGACAGAACTCTGGAAGGAAATCGAGGGTAAATTTCATAACCTCTGCACCAAAGCTGAAGAATTGCGCTCCGACATAACAACGAATAAAGCAGAGTGTTTTATGTCTGTCAACACTTGCGTTCAAGGAGCGAAACGCGTGAATCGCGCCAATCGAGGCGCATACAAAACACGGACAAACGCAGCAGGGTTGAAATTCAACCAGGGGCATTCGTGGGCATACAATTCTTGGAAAAAAATGTTCAATGAGAGTCCCAATAAAGTCCTTAAGAAAGTGATAAGTCAGAGAAAGAAGAGGAGAGAAAAGGCAAAATCGGCGCGTATGATTCGACTTGCGAATAATCCTGAGGAAAGAAATCGCAAAAAAACAAAAAGTGTTGCATTGGCAGATTGCGATTACGGCCCTGATGCTGCTGGTCCCGACATTTCTGAAGAAGAGTTAACCAGCCGCAAATCTCAGCTACTTGCGCAACTCGCTGCAGAGGTGGAAACTGAGGAAAAACGCTTGGAGCTAATGGAGAACACCGAGGGGCAACATTCAAGCGGCTTGTTCCGACGGGCCAGAGCAAACCGTCTCACGGCATCCAATTTTGGAAAAATTTTTAAATTGGATGCTGCCACTCACCCACACAACACTGTTCGGCGGCTTCGTAACCCGACTGATTTATCAAACAACGCTGCAGTAAAGTACGGACTTCACGGCGAGGACTTAGTGAAACAAAAATTCAAAACACAAACTGGGCTTGCTGTGCGCAAAATCGGCTTGTGCGTGAATAAAAATTGGCCTTACCTAGGAGCCTCACCTGATGGAGCAGTGGGAGCAAATGCAATAATTGAGATAAAGTGCCTTTACTCAGCGAAAGAAAGGAAAATATTTGATTTTGTAGCTGAGCGACAAGGCGTAGACGAGCGCGGCGAACAGATCATGGAAAATGGCAAGAAGAAGAAAAAAGACAAATTTTCATCAGTGTGCTTGGAAATCTTTGAGGGCAAATTGCGACTGAAAAGAAAACACGACTATTTTTTCCAAATTCAAGGACAGCTTGCAATAAGCGAAAAGGAGAAATGTTATTTCGTGGCATCAACCGACGTCGACTTGTTCGTAGAGGAAATTCTTCCCGACAAAGAACTCTGGGCTAACATGGAAAGGAAGCTCAGCGAATTTTACCTGGATTATTTGCTGCCTGAAATCGTTGACCCACGCATTATTCGCGGTTTGACCGTTCGAGTGCCGCCACAATATGCTGAGGCTGCTGCTAAACGAGAGCAACAAAAAACCGAGAAGAGGAAGCCAAGGGAGAGAGAATGATAGGAACTGAAGCGTTTTTGTAATTTAAATTTTTTTTATATACTTTAAAAAAAAATGTGCAGTTTATTTGATGAAATTGGGAAAGAAATACATTATCATCTATGTGTACTAAAATAATATTTTTGTTTTGTTTCATAATAAAATCCCTGGTTATATGATAATATAATATTCTATATACTTCCTAATAAAACTTTATAAAACTGTTTTCTGTTTGAAATCAACAATTAAATTTTATGTTTTTGAAAATTGGATAATAAATAATTTAATTTTTTTGCAGTTCATCAAAATTAATATTATAAAATTTCTAAAAGTCATAAAAATTTCATTCAAATTTTGCTAAGCCTTAAAAATTTTACAAATTCACAATCTAAATTAATATTTTTGAAATTAAAAAAAAAATCACATTTTCAAATTTGAGTACTTGTATTTTTTTGGCTGCTGCATGCGCGCACAGCAGGAGACTAGGAAGAAAGGCACCCTGTGGAGAGTGCATTGTCAAGCAAGCAATGCAGTTTTCTTTTGTATTTTTGGAACAGCGCTCCTGCGGAGAAACGCTGAACTATTTTATCATTGGAAGATAGGGCTTGGCCAGCAACAGTGCCTCAGGGAATTTAACTCACAAAAATGGCGACTATAGAAAAACCTTAATCCTTGAGTAAAATGGTGTGCACGCTGGGTTAACGCCTATACGGTTGGTGTCTGATTTGGAAATCGGCTATTGCTTTACTGGAATTCCATGACTGCCATTTACAGTAAGAGAGTCAAGAAATACAAACATTAAACTGTTATTTACTAACAAATCTGTAAGACAAATTTAAGAACGCTTTGAGTAAATAGTTTGCGGTTTTTTTCCCTATTGCTGCCTTGAACAAAATCATATTTTTGAAAAAAAAAAAATAATACATTTTTGTTACAATACCATTTCAAATAATTTATAGTGGTTTTTAGTGTTTTTACTTACAATTTCATGAGCAGAATTTCAATCAATAAATATTTATATAGGCTTACTAATAAAAGGTAAAATTTAGTTTAATTCAATTTGTACATAATTTATTATATTTTTTATGAAATTACGCTTGCATTGCTCTGCAATATAAATAAATTGCTGAGTAAAAATTATTATATCGACATTTTAAGTATCTCCAGATCGTTTAATATTGGTATGTATAATTGTCACACATTTAAAAACCTTGGAATCCGTGCTAGTTCGAGTGGGAGACCAAGAGGGCGAAGGTATGTGACCGGCGTGACTCATGTGCGATGCAGGCTGCTGTATTCCTCTCTGCAGGAGGGTGTGTCTCGGCACCTGTTACAAATTTAAAATTAATAATACATTCTTAGCCAACTTGGCGTAATTCACATGGCCCACGTCCAGCCATTTGGAAGATTTGAAATTATGCTAGTTTAGCCTAGTTATTTGATGACCTAATATTAAGAGATTTAGAGCAACTCAATCAAAAATTTATCAAAGTAGTTGAAAACTATGTAAATAGTGTACACATTTATTTATAACACAATAACTTTTAAAATATTTTGTGATATTATAACATAATTGTTTATTATATTCAAGAAATTTAATATTAAAGATTATATTCCTTATAAGTAATAAAATATGTTTAACGTTGTTATTTTATTATAAATAATTCAGGAAGAATTTTTTATTTTCATTATTTGTAAAACCAAAATTTGAGAGTTTACCGCTGTTTATTATAAATCAACATATATAAATTTCTGTTCACCGACAAACGTATTATTTGTTAAGTTTAAAAGAATTTTACATTTGCGTTTGCACATGCGTCATGTTCAAGTATAATTATTTGTTATTCTATGATAATTAAGTAAGATATTGGTCCATTTGAATGTTGGAAAAGATCAATATTTCGTGTGTATCTTACAATGAATATTATTTATTACGTTGATAATTTTTACTTGTATAGAGTAATGTAAAAGATGCTGATTTTTTTACACTTATTCCTTATTCATTTTTTTTTTAATGTTCATGATTTTTCTCCAAATCTGATGAAGTTAATTGAAGAAACCGGTAGAAAAGTTGGAATGATTCATAATTATAAACTTGATTAGGAATGCAATTGGCAATTCTTGATTAAGAGACCTTGCGATTTTGACAGGCCGATTCGGTCCACGGACATACTAATTAAAAATAACGACCGTTTTTTCTTATTGACTAGACAATCGGCCGCGGGGTTTGGTATTGTTGGGCTCGAGTGTACTCACTCACTCACTTCTCTCACATCACACCATCAACAGGATATAACAGGCTATTGATCACAGATACTGATAATGAGAATGCTTATACACAAGACAGCCGAGAGAGCCAACTGGGCACACACACACACATTTATTTTTTATTCCTCTCTTTCCGACGCTCTTTTTCCATTACGATTGTGGTCGCTGGTAACGCCGTCAACACCCAGTAAACACGGACCGACGAGGGCTGGTGCACGTCGCCGGGTGGAAGCAAAAAATTGAACCGATAAGCGCACCTCCGTATAAAATGCAAACCGCTTCTTTATTTCCCTCGCTTTCGTACAAAATAAATAAGTAAACAAATAAATTGTATAAGAGAAATTTCCTCCACCGTAGTGTTCGCACAAAAGCGAATCATGTCGCTGTCAACTGGAATCGAAAGAGGCAACAAATTGCACCGCGCGCAATTATATCTTTCTCGACGTCCCCCCTTCAGCTTTCGAACACGTAAATACGTACACAACAAGCTGACCATTAAGCATCTATCGACACCTGCACAGCTGATCAAACTTGCAGATAATATTCCCACCTCAAATAGTTGAATCCATGCCAGAGGAAACATTGCGAAAAATTTAAATAACCAGCAGATTTCCACATTAAAAAAGGTTTAACTTTATTAGTATCAAAAAATCTGGCCTTCTGATACAAACAATAAAGACACAGCAACTAATTTATAATAAATAAATTGCGACTAGTCAATTTCTGTAGGACTGAAAATGACCTCAAACATTGTCTCAAGCTCTAATCCAAATTGTAAAATTGGTTCAGAAGACGTATTTAACTGATTTTAACATTACATTTTGCTAGTTTTTCAACTGCTGGATGATATATTGCAATTGAGAAAATTGACATTTTTGTATTTATTATGGGCCGTGGATTGGGGCGGACGTCACTTCCAAATTCAAGAATCAATTCAGAATATGAAATTTGAACTAAATCAAACATAATTACCATCTTAATACTAACATAATTTTAAATTAAAAAGTTCGTGGGAAAAACATTAAATAATTCTTAATAAATGATATTTTTTAATATTTTTCTTCAAAAATAATCTTTGTTATAAAATTAAATTTACACATTTTAATATTTATTTTGACACATGTATCATCAAATTTTTGTTCTTCCTAAAAATAACAAAGTAATTTAATTTTTCTTTCAATTTTATACATTTTCTTTGATTTTTGGTTAACTTTGAACTTAACAGGGTCGCGGCTCTTTTCAAAGAATAAAAAATCCTGCCCAAGAGAATATCGAAGATCGGCTAAGCGGCTCTTTTTCGCGCTCAATATTGCATTACGATTGCACATCAGGATGCTGCGGCGATAAGCGCGCGTTTCACGTTCCGCAATCGGCGGGCAGGTATCGCGCGTTGTTTTATTTTTTCACCGCGAAAAGTGCAATTGTGGCGATGGAGCGTGCCAAATGGGTTGTGCACACTTCATTTTTAATATTACGTGTGTGAGTGTGTGTTGTTATCTTGGGCTCATACGTACTCTATATCAAGAAATTTGCGCGTCTGCTCGGAACGAGTTTTACACATCAAATATAAGTGGCGCGGCGCATTTTCGATTGCATCTCTCTGGATAAATATTTTATAGCAAGAGAAGGAAGAGGTGATGACGGATCGTTTTTCACTTTTATTTGAAGGTCTCATTAATTTAGGTAATTATTTCGAGCAAAATTTAATGCATTTTTATTACAAAAACCACTTTCATTTTCGGAGAATTTGTTTTTTAGTTGAAATTAAATTTTTACCAAATTTTTCACAATGGGAAGAAAATAATCTGGAGAAGTAGCGTAGTTCACAGAAGGTGGTCCATTGTGTGCCTCGTGGAAATCTGCAGAGGTCATCTCATTAACGAGGTGCGCGCTAATTAAGGTGGGGGACGAGAAAAATCTCTCACGGCGTGTATACGGATTTTGATGATAATGTTCGCAACGTCTCCATTCCTCTCCTCCAAACTCTGCGTCAATTGAAACGAAAAATAAAAATTCACGAAACCTATGAAGAAATATTGAGGTTGATTTAACTATATGATTTTTGAAAACGATCCAAGAATTTTAATTGCCTGAGAGGAGATGGAGGGAAAAGAGTTGTCGCAAAAAAAAACCAAGACTTAGTTTGGCATCCACTTTACCTTATTGCACAAACGAGTGTTGCAATTGATTAAAAATACAGCTCGCGTTATTGGCCGTGCACGCGAGCCACGTGATGAAACCTGCTCCACCTCCGCTGCAAAATCAAGTCCAGCCTCCCAAGATAGAGAGAGAATGAGACTTTAAATTTGCTGATCTACACGGCTTCTAATTGACTCAGGTGTTAGAGCGAATCATCAAAGCAGTTCGCTTATAGGAATTTTGCTCAAAATTGAAACACATTTTTCCGTTTCTCTTTTAATTTTTTTTCAATGCCCGCTGTTCAAATTAAAAATAATAATTGTAATTTTAATCATCGAACCTACTTAAAAAAAATTATGATAACTTTATAATTTTATTTATTCGAATCAATACTAAATCAGGAAAAATTCTCCTAATAAATTAAACATAAAATCTGCTAGTGTCAGAAAATTTTGATTACAGAGAGTATAAATACATTTCTCTGCAACTTGCATGGATTAACCAATATTCCCAGATTTTATTTCAATCCATTTTTTCTTTCCAAAATAAAGTTGTTTTGCAAATTAAAACTATTTATTGTGCTCTTATTTAACATTTTGATCATTAATTTAAAACTGGGCGCCAGTAATACAAATAAGGCAAGTCCAAATGAGGTGGCTCTTTCCAATTGATTCGAGAACCGTAGGTTTGGAAAGCAGCCATCATTATACTCACAAACTT